TTTTAGTGTGTGGATGAGATTTTTAGTCATCTTAGCATCCTTTAGAGTTTTTATTTTTACTTTTTTTAACACTGGACTTTGGAGGTATGTATGTAGATGAACACTTGAGTATGCTGCTTGCATTTTCCTAGGTTTGATTTCTTTTTTCCCTATTGGAATGATTAAGTTAGAGAATGACCCATGGTACAGTCACTGCAAGGGAAATGTTTTCTGCACACAGTAATGAAGAGTTTTCAGTAGTTTATGGATTTTTGAATAAATGTCCTGATTTCCCAACCATGAAAATTTGCTTTGTCTTGGAGAGAGATTGCTCTGTGTGTGTCTCTGTTAAAAAAACAAATAACAATCAAAAACTCCAAGCGCAACGGCAACAACAAAAACTTTATTTTCCACTTTCTTCATTTGATAAAAATCTCTCCACTCTAGAATGATTTCCTTTGGGTTTGACACCAGCATTTGATCTCAGTTTTCAATAATTTTGGTGGGTTTCACTCCCAGAAGAAAACATGCTTGTGCTATGAAGTATTCCCACTAGAAATCTGGGAAGTCTTAAACCCTGGTGTTACTCAGGGCTAAGAACTCGCTTCTTTATTAATTCTGTGCTAGACAACCTCTATACAGTAAATCTTTCCATAACACCATGCTGTTGAAATTAATCAAGCTGATGTTTGGAAATTGTTCAAATTAGATTAAATTAAATAACACCTAGATGGGGCTCACAACTTGCGCTGATGGAAACAGATTTTAATCTAAAAAGACACAAATTTTATCGGTGCCTCTTCTTATTGGTTGATCTTCATATTACGCTTATTAGGATGAGCAAGCACTGCTTCCGATTTAATGGGCAGCAGGGGTGGGTGGCTGTAATAGTTTCACCTCCTCTGCAGCTTTTCTGTCGCCTTTTCTCCTTCGGTTTAGGTGCTGTGCCTGGGCTGGTCATGCGGAAGTTGGTGATGTGTAGAGGTTTGACTGCTGGTAGTGCCACCTTTAATTCTCAATCTGAAGCACTGGATGGAGTATATTATTTGAAAATGAACAAAAAAAATCAGTACAGGACTTCTTAAAGATCTTCCCTCTCTTGTCCTTTACTTGACTATTAGAAATTAACAGCTTGCACTTGCAAATCTTGCAGCTCAAAGTGTTTTCCAGGGAGCTGCTTGACTTCAGTTTGATAATATTTTTAACTGGCTTCAAGCTTTTGTTTAATGAATATTTTGTGTGGAGGAATGTCCAGGGTTTTGTCTTTTTAGACAGCATACCTGTTTCTTTTTTCTTCATTTTTAGAATGAATGGGAAAATAAAACTGCGGAGTGAAACTAGCAAGTAGGAGAAAAACCTGCGTTTGGGCACAGGTCGTCTGCGTATTTAATTGCTTTTTGATTTTTCTGCTGCTTAGATGAGTCTCAGCTAAAAGAAATGCAAGCAAATGTACAAAGCCTTCTCTGTACATCACAAGCACTCCATGAAAGCAACTACAGAGCTTAACTCCCATTTCTGATGTGTTTTGAAAATATTTGGTGTACAGAGGTACCGATCACCACCAACCATTCTGTTCTTCTGGAAACACTTTCCGTGTTCTCTTCTATGGAACACAGGGAATTCTTGTGTACAGGTGTTCTTTAAAAGGCTTTCTGAGGTCTTATTTTATGTTCCTCTAACACTTAAAGCTATCTATATGCTGACAGAAGCACTGAAGAGCTGTTTCTAAACCAGCTAAATGAAGTAGTATCAAGTAGAAAAAGTCTTTTGGATAATTTGTAATCATTACTAATGTTTTGTGTGCAATTCAGCATATTGTGCTCCTCCTTTGAGAAAACAAAATGTTTTCTTTTCAGCCTTCAGATTACCCCCTGTTTTCTCCATGTGTGAAACTCAGTGCCGTATGTTATCCACTGTGAGTTACACCGCATCATTCACTAAAACATCTCTCTAAAGCTGGGAGAGCAAACGTACAAGAGTTTTGCTCAAAAGGGATCTCAGCCTTTTTTGTGTGTATGCGTGAAGAGGGAGGATGACTAGTTCTGGCTGCTCAGGCACTAGAGAAAAGAGCTGAGGGCTTTTAGGATTTATGAGTTAGGCTTTTCTTACTGCGTGTAAGGCTTCGTTCTGGACGCTTGGTCTCCTGCTCTCTTGTGTATCACTGTAAGTAAGTTGTTCAACTGGAATGATGGTGAGGGTGGACTGGCTTGCATCCCTCTTCTGTAAGGGCCCTGTAGTGAGGTGGAGGTTCCGTTTATATGCCTAGGTGCAAGGCGTCATGCATACCGGTGTAAAGACTGTGCTGGTTTTAGCTGCAGGTGATTTTCCTTCAGATTTTCATGTACCAGAGGTATGTTAATTTATATTCAGATAATATCAGGAAACAGAGAAGTTCACAGTAATAAATCCATTTGAAATATTATAGCTTAACTCTTTCTAGTGCAAAATAGAGGGCAGAGCAGATGGGATTTCCTCGGAGTGGGGTTTGCTTGGAAAGAAGTTGGATGACTCTTGTTTTCTAGGAAAGCAAAATTGGTTTTAAGACTCCAGCCATAACGAGAGGATCATAATGTGTTAGCAGTGGCAGATGTGGTAACCTGCCCTTTGCTCTCTGTTTTTAAGGTACTAATGGCAGCTTATCATCAGTTATGCTGGGTCACTGAGCTTAGAGATATTTTTGCAAAAGCTGTTTCTGTAGCAGGGCTCCTGTAATCCTGGATGGCCAAAACAAGCCATTTAAAAAATAATCACGGGCAAGCTTCCTGCAAGTCTATCATGCCATCCATGCAGTAGTGTTGTGACAACAGCATTTCTACCATTTGAGGTCCTGTTTGCGCTAAGACAGTAAATTATGGGCATAAATTGCATGGAGAATAGGTGCTGCTTCTGTGCTAAAAAGATGGAGAGACAGTTCTGTGACAAGGAAAGCATGCTGCAGGAGGATGGAAGATGCTGCGGCATTCTTCTCATCAGTTTGCATTCACTCACTTACACTGTCTTGCCAAAATGTGATTTACACAACCAATATTGCAGCCTTAGCATTTGGCCAATGATCTTATTCTTTTGTTGAGACATTAATAGCCCCATCAGAAATGCTGTGACAGGCCGTATGTTCGGTGGGAGGGTATGTTTGTTACTTACAGGGGTTAAATTTCATTTTAACTAGTTAAATGATTTATGGACAAACAATTCAGCTTTTAACCTTGGAAAGGAATAACAATTTTGTTGTTGACTTCAGTGGGAACAGAATCAGCCATACTCTGTCTTTTCAGAAAAGCACCCAGAGATATTTTTCACTGTATATTCCTGAGTGAGTGTGTTAAAATTTGTTTCTTGAGCTTGCAAAATGCATTAGTTTATCACGGAATCAGAGGTAAAGAGGGAGCAGCATCAATATGATGCTGTAACCTATTTACCCATTATTGAAGATAAGATTTAAAACAGAATGCTAAAACGTATGAATTGGGTATCCAGGCTTGTAGCTACTGCTGGTCTGCAGTTAGAATGTCCAGTTGGGAGCTAATCCCTGCCAGCTATGGCACTAAATGATAAATGTGTATCTAAAATACATTTTAAGTAAATCTAATCTCTGCAAATTCAAGCCTGGAGGATTCAAGTCCCTTAGCAGGTGTTACTGCTGTGACTGTATCTATTTCAGGGCAGGGTGGCTCCTTTTTGACCGCTGTTTTGCAGATATTAGAACTGCTGATAGATGATCTTAATGAATTGGCTTTGTATAGAAGGAGAACCAAAATTTGGCTTTCTCCTCTCTTTCCCTTATGAAGTGCCCAGTCCAAGAATGCAGTGATCTGTATCAATTCTTTCGTGAATATTTTCATAATAATTATTTTCATATTACCTACATGAAATTGTCATATTTACTTCTGAAAAACAGGATTGAAAAGTAAACTGGTAGACTTTCAGGCAAGCTCTGCATAGCACATTTTGGGAATGGCTTTAGGCTTAGATTTGTCTTTCCCTTAATATTTCATAGCTTATCTAGAGGCTAACAAATTATATGTATCCAATTAATAAATTTATGTTGCTGGAGGTAGTGATTTTTTCCTTTGCCACACACTTCATGGCCTATAGCAAATGATGGAAATAGATGTTCGAACTCAGTAAGTTTTCTGTGTTTTCCTTTCATGCTTTTCCCTCCACGCACAGACATGCAGTACTATAAGGCCGTGTTCCACAAATTGGCTTGTTTCTGGCCTGTCTGTAGTACTGGATCCCTTTAAGTTCACGCCTCACCGTTTATTACCAGGGATGACTTGATCTCATTACCACAAAAGTAAATTTACAATAAAAGAGAATTAAATTGAATCCAGAACACTCCTTGAGTTTTTTACTTCTGTGATTCACCCTCGCACTTGATCCTCTTTCTAAGAGAGCTGTTCTCAGTCTCTTCGTACTTTAAGAGAACACTGCCGCCTTCTCTGGGACTGCTGGTCCATTAGCTCCCAACACCACCAAATCATCATTTTCAGTAAAATTTATGCAAGTGTGTTTACTTTGCAGAATGGGTAGGATGGCCGTGGGCTGGAAGTATGTGAATTAACCTGGCCAATCCAAGAAGTGCATATGGGACTAGCCCCAAACAATATCTCTGTGATGGTCTCTCTGTGGAGAGAAGCTGGAGAGTGGTGTTTACATGTCAGGTTTTCAGATCTCTGAGTGTAGAGAAGCCCTGACCTGCAAGAATAGGGCATTCAAGGAACTGTAGAAAATTTCATCAGTATTAAAAAAGTCTTAGTAGAAAAATCTCATTTGTCCTCATGCTGACTGTTACTTTGTTCCTAAATTGTATTCTCTGGGGCTTTTAGTGTGGTTTGTAAATGAGTCAAGTGATGAGACTTCAGTATTTCCCTTGAAAGAAAACAAAAGCTGTCCCCTGGGGAAGAAAGGCCAATATCCACTTATGATGAGCCTTCTAGGAGGTGTTTTAAATGAAAGCTTTTATCAGAGATGTACGATGCTTTTCTTGTTCCTCTCTCACAGACTTCTTTTTTTCCATCTAGGTTTGATGATTCCAGTCTTTTGTGTGGTGGAGCAGTCGGATGCCTCTCTTGAATATGATAATCGAGAAGAGCATGCTGAGTTCGTTCTGGTTCGCAAAGATGTGCTCTTTAGCCAGCTGGTGGAGACAGCGCTCCTGGCTCTGGGGTATTCCCACAGCTCTGCGGCTCAGGCACAAGGTATTCAGTAAAGTTCTTTTCCCTCTTCTCTGTATTGACTGAATGGTGCACCTGAGGCTGTTCACTGCAAGGAGAAAGCAAGAAAATCGGTGGGAAATCTTGGAAGTGTTTTAATCGGTTGTTTTGATTACTTAATCTTAAACTAGGTGTAGAACAACACCTATCTTGTTAGCCAGCCTAGAAAGCATTAGCTGGATCTTGCTGAAGTGTGAAATATGGTGATAATGATCAGTCAGCGTATTCATGACACATTTGTTCTGTATCTCAAGGCAGGTTGCTGCTTTGAGGAAATCAGTGCAGAAGTGCAGGGTAGAACCTCTAAGTGTAGGGCTAGATGGTATCTGGTACTTCTCTTTCTATCAGGGCCGTTTTGAACAGCATGTTATAATGTTTCATTTTTGAAACAGTGTATTGAATACAGTAAGGTTATGTATACGTGTTCTCTTAATTGCCAATAGCCGTACTGCAAAATGTGCAAACTGATTTTTGTTTCTGCTTGTCTGCGGTACTGCTGCAAAGTGCTTTGTAAATCTCTACCATTCCTTCTTTTTGCGAATGATTCTCCAGAAGGAGCAAAGTCTTAAAATTAACAAAGCTTTCCTCTCTATACCCAAAATATCAGCATGAAACGTAAAATTGTATAAATGGGGGAGACAGGCAGGAGGTGGGGGATCGGGAAAAGTCTTTCCAAAATGAATTTCACATTTCAAGAAACTTTTATGCTGAGGAGATTATTTCATTGTTTTCTCTTTTGGATGAGAAGCCTGTGACTTTGTTTCATCCTCATGTCATCAATTGGACCCCTGCAGTTTAGGGTAGTTTAACAGTAGCTTTGCCTGGGGATTTGGATTTTATCTGTTGGTTTTAGTCACTTTGTATAGCTAGGAATTTGAATGTGCAAACAGAGGGAGCAGCGGTAGTGCTGTATGCAGGAGTTCTAGACAGCGGTTAATAGCGCAACACTCTTTGTACAAACTTCTCTCCAAGCAGGGTGATAATGATTCATTTCCTCTGTCAGCCTCTCTGCTCTGTGAGAGAGGCTCAGGATCTGCTTACGGGCAGAGCTCGTGCACAGATCTAATGTATTTACTTATTTACACAGTGCAGCAATAAAAACTATATGAGAAGGTAGCTGTTTTGTTTTTTAACAGGAAACATTTCATGTCGTTTTAGGGACACTTTTTTTTTCTTTTTTTTTTTTCCCCCCCAATAAATGTAAAAGGTCATTGTATTCCACTGTTTCCATCCTGGTGAGCCAGCTTCCTGTTTGACAGCACTATCCATCTCAGTTAACACAGTTGCTCAATATGTTGTGAGCTAACATGTGGAACATGCTGCATTCAGTGGCCAAGATTTCAGTCTTGGCACTTATGAAGGGGAATGGGCTTTGCAGGAAACCTGCTCTGAGGAGGCATGCCACTCAGTGCAGTGATCCACACTGGCTGAGCATCTCACTTGGGGAACCTTGCATTTGCAGCATCTCTCTGCTGTGAGAATACCAAGGAGTAGAGACAGATTGAATCACAAAGGAAATTAGTCACTGTGCAGGGAGGAAACGGCCACTGCGTTTTTAAACTACAGACATCGTAAGGGAGCAGGTTCAGCTAGTAATCTGTCATTTGGTGTTGTGCTCAAATAACTCATCTATAAAATCAAAGTTGAACCTCTAATTGTTTCAATTAATCTAATAGAAAAGACTTCACAATTTTTGTCTTTAAGGGATTAATTGCCTAAACTAGAAAACATCAGGTGGTATAGTATTTAGAAATGACAGAAATTACTTCAAAGATCTGTCAGGAATAAAATCTCTTCCTTGGTCAGCATGCTTATCTTCACACCAAAGGACCAGTTCTCTGAAGTCTTTTATGCTTCCTGGGCAAATACTGTAGGATATGCTGATTTTAACGTACAAAACTGAAGTGGGCAGCATGTTCTGAAATAGCTTGCTTCTGTGCTACTGTATGCAAGCAGAGAGATGAGGTCCAGGCAGAGGCAAATTGCTGGTACAGGTATCTGAGACTGGCTAGTTTCGTGAGAAAAATTGTAGAATGTTGGGCTATAATCTGTCAACCAGTGTTTATGGAAACATGTTGCTGAATACTTTAGTAAAGGGTTTATTTGGGAGCACAATTTTCTGATGTGGAAAAAGAGGAAAAAATATAAGGCTATTTGCTCTGTTCATTCTGGATAAAGGAAAAGTCTGCTTCTGTTCCAGTAGTTGGAATTGATTTCATTTAGCAATATACGTTGATGAACAGCCACTTAGTTCTTCTCTATGCTTTGTGATCAGCTGAATTACACGATCTGCATGAGAAGCTGAAGAACTTCAGGTGCATTTCTCAAAATGGTGAAGCTTTGAGCTGTTCAGGGCATCGTTGTGACTAGGTGTCCTCATGTCCTCTAGGACAAAGTAAATGCAAGATTGTCAAAGCTTTGTTTTGTAAAGGCTGCTTATGCAGTAATCTTAATCTAGGATGTAATAGTCATCACCTATTGAGTTAGGAAAATGTCTGTTTCTTTGGTTGACTGTCAGAAGGAGAACCACTGTTCATTTCATCTCACAGGACACTTCTTGTGTTTGTGCATTCTAAAGAACCACATCTCCAATGTCAGATAAGAGTTACTTGTGGGTGAAAAAATGGAGTTGTGGCAGGAGAGAGAACTGCTGTGCAATTTCACACCGCCTTCGCCGCAGTTCACCACAGCATTCGCACAGCCCTGCTGAGTCTCAAGCAGGTGGTGCGTGATTTGTGCGTAGGGCCCCATCTCACATCGCCTACTGTACTGCAGAGTCTGCATGCCAGAAAGAAGACGTGACATGGAGGGGAATGTGTGTCCAAGGAGGCCCTGCTGTGGGTCTGCCCAGAGCTGCTGAGCTCCCCGGAGAGCTGAGAAGTCTTAGCATAAATATTTTGAAACAAATACATACTGGGGGATATACATGAAGATGGCCCCATGCCTTGCTGGAAGAAGCTTTTTATTCCCCCACAGTTTGGGCAGGACGCAGTTATTATTACACAAACAGCTGGTTGCAAACATTTTTTGTTGATGGTGGCAAGAGCAGAAACTTTTCCAGCAAGCACTGCCCTCGTGAAACTTCCCTTTTCTGACAGGAGCTGTGAAAAGTCTTCTGGAACAGAATGGGAATTTGTTAACAGCTTGGCACTGGGGTGTGAAAGTTGGTGGTGTGAATGGCAACAAAGGTTTAATCAACATTTATGTATTTTTCTTTCATCACTTGAGTCTACACCTGACACTAGGGAACCTGCTACATGTGCCTTCTGGTAAGAAAAAGAGTCACGCTTTAAAAGGGCACCTGTTCCGTGTGTAATTTAATAAAAATTACATACCCTGGTGCCTTTCTGAAAGTTATTTTCTGTTATTATTATTTTTTTATTGTTGGGTGTGGTACTCTAAGTGAGCTGTGCAGGAGGGGGGAGCTGGTGGGGACTGAGTGCTGAGGCCAAAGCAGTATGAAGTTAGCTGCAATCTGAAGTACTTTGTGAACAGTCTGAAGCTTTGGACCCGCTGTGAAAGCTGACTCTCTCCCACTGTGGAGTTGAGGAAGAGCAGTGCTAGTCTGACACTTCTACCAATTTCTTACAATCCATATGAAAAATAAAGTAGTGTTTTCTCTTTTGACTGGTTCCCTGCTAGCTGTTGTGAGCATACACAAAACTGGTGTACATTGTCTACAGAGCCTCACAAAGCTTAGTGGCCCATCAAAGTAGACTTTGCCTTTGGTTCCAAGGTTTTTCTGCTGGGTATGCTGGCAGGGCAAAGGAGTGCCTGCCCTGACTGTGTCTGTGGGTAACATTGTGGATAGCACATCTGGAATATTGTTGCTGTGCAGTGTTACTTGCTGTGATCTGCTTCTCAAGAGTGAGGCTCAGGGAAGACCCAAACATAAAGTTAATAGGAAAAGATCCTGTGAAATATTCCCATCTGTGCTGCCTCTGGGACCATAGTAGTTTCTAACTGAATGTCAGGTGAAGGCAGAATGTACCAACTGGGGGCTGTGTTGAACACATGCAAACTGATTTTATATTTCTCTATCAAGAAAGGTACAGAAAAAATGTAACAAAACCCTGCAAAACTTGTGCTGCTTGTATACAGCTAAGTTTGCTGCAGTTGGGAAGATAAGTTGCTTTTTCATACAGGCGCAACATAGAAGTATGGGTGAGATGAGAGGAAACCTGGGTTCAGGTATTTCCTGTGCAATAAATTGCAAGGGTGCTATAATCCAGGATCTTCTGCCTCCTTAGCCAGTGCCCAGTGCCAGTTGTATGTTTGAGCTGTGGCTCCCTGTTTGTATAATCAGACATCTCTTAGTCTAGGGTTTAATGAGTAGAAGAGAAACCAACCCAGCCCTCTTCAGGACTCTGTTCACCAGAGTAGTCTTGTTCAATCCTTAGCAGCTCTTTATTCAGTAATCTCCTTTTGTGCACCTTTCCTGGGGAAAGGTTCTTATGGATAATCTCACCTTTCTTCTATCTAACTTTGGAGGTAAAACTGTGAAAGATCATTTAGGAGTAATAAGCATGTGAGGTAGGACTCTAACAGGCATCCTACAGTAAACTCAGACATGACATTTAATGACAAATTTGTCTGGGTTTGCTGAGCAGACTGGATTTCTTGCAGTAATACTCAGCCATTCAGATCAAAGCAGTCCTTGTCAAAGCAGCTCCTTCTTGAGTTGTGCATTGCTTCAGTTGTGTTCTTTGTCTTTCTCTGTGACGTTTAAAGAAATTGGTCTGAATACTGCTCAAGTATTTATTTCCCTATATACAGATGCTTACCAGCAAATCACTGTTTTGTCTACCCTGCAAAACTTCATGACAACTGCAAGTGAAACTAATTTACAGGAGCTGAGAGAGAAAGTCGGACTTCAATGAGAATGTTGAAAGCCTCTTCCTGCTTTGTTTTTCAGTAGGCGTTACAGTGCATAATGGACATAGGATTTGAAAGACACTTGTTAAAGGTTCAGCTTCTCATGCCAT